CACTATTCCTAATCAGACCACTTAAATATTGGATATCTTGAATTATTTGGAATTTCTTGTACTTTATTGGGATGAAGAATGTGTCTCTGTAATTTCCACAGACGAATCTGAGTTCTGCTCTTAGGAATCACAAAGAATTTGGCAACTCCTGAAATTTGTGAGGGCCACAATCAAGTCCCTGCTTTGGATTCTCTTTTTCTAGGCTAAGCATTCTAATATATTTTACTTATTTATCTTATGATGTGCTCTCAAATTCAATCCTTTATTTCTTCTTCAGACAGATTCTGGTTTCTTTTAAATAAACTGTCGAGAAACGAATGTATAAGTTTTAAGATGTAATATAAATAATGAGAACTGAGGGATTGTTACTTTCCATGATCTTTTGCATTGAGAGCGAAGCCCAGGAAGTCGGGGACTGTGTTTGTCTTTCTCACTGTTGTAGCCCCACTAACCATATTATATAGAACATAATAATGTCCTCAGAAAATATATGTTGATGAGTCAAATAAGTGCTGTGGTTCCTATAAACCTAGAAAGCAGTCAAGTTTGTTAGCTACTTTAGAATTTGATCTCTGGAGCATGTTCAATCAAGACCTTAACATCTTTTTCTAAACTACCTTCAGCCTGTACATGTATAATTAATATTGTTAAACCTAAATGCTTCTTTTTCTTTATATGAATTCATCTTCTGAGCAAATATTTATTGAGTACTTACAGTGTTCTGTGCTAGTACTTGATTCTGTACGAGGTGGCACAAGTTCTGTGCTAGGTACTAGGAATACTGTGGAAACAGCCTTTCTGTCATGGTCATGGATATTACAATGTAGATGATGGTGCAGTGGAGAAACAGATATCACACAGGTAAAAAAAAACAACTGTTTTTATACACTGAGAGAATTCTGTGAAGGAAGTAAATAGGTTCTGGAATAGAGGACTGGGAAGTGACTTACGGGGAGAGTTTTGTAGATGTTAGGGAAGTCAAGGAAGATTGAGGAGGACTTATTCTACTGGGAACTTGAATTATAAGAAGAAACCAGACTTGTTGCAAGGGATGGGGTGTGTTCCAGTCTAAGAAAATGGCATGTACCAATGATTTAAGGCAGGAAAGTACTTGGCTGTTGTGACTAGAGCATAGAGGCAAGGGAGAAAATAGAACAGGGTGAGGTTGTTGAGCTCATTCAAGGATCTGTAGTTCAGTGAGAAGTGAAAGAAGCTTGCACAAACATGGTAGCAGTAGAGAAGAAGAAAAGTGGGCTGATTCTATCAATAAATATATTTTGGAGGTAAACTCTATAGGATTAACAGATAGATTTTATTGGGAAGGGAAATGGAGAAGACTGAGACAAGGATGATGCTTATGTATCTGGTCTGAGCTACTGGCTGGTATGATTGAACAATTTACTGGGACAGGAAGAGAGAATCGAGTTTACTTTGGGGCATGTGTTTTGAGATGCCTGTGAGATACCCATCTCTCTTCCCTGTCTTTTCTATTTTGTTTGTATTGCTATCCTTCCTTTATTAAGCTGTTTATTAGAGTGGGTCAAGGAAGGTGTAATATAAAAATGACAGACTCAGACATGAAACTGCTTGGGTTAATGAGAAGTATAATAAAAATAAGCTGGAGAATAAGCATGTTAATGAAAATGAGGGCAACAGTCATTCTTAAGCTTTGGTTGCAAAGGCTTTTCAAATTTCTCTGCTCAGTATTTGTTTCCACTTCCCTAGGGATTCCCATTGTGAATTTATTCACTGATAACCTGAATTTACTCAGTCGTTTGCCAAGTTCTTTCTTTTTCTAGCCTCTCCCTGTCACATTGTTTACCCACTTCACTGTTTAGAAGCCTTCAGTGGTTCTCCATTGCTTTCAGGATAAAGCCCAAACTGTTTAGCATGTTATTCAAGTCCTTTTTTAAAATCTCCTCTTTGCCTGTCTTTCCCTGTCTCCCAATTCTATCTTTACATACACTCTATGGAAAGGGAAATATGTAAACATCTGGGGGATTTGAAACTTGTGGGAACAGAGGTTGTCTTGGCCAGACTGAATAGCCTGTTCATAAATTCTTAACAGATAGGGGCTTCTTTAGCAGAGCACAGTGGAGTAGAACCATCTGAAGTACCAAGTTTTAGAAAGACAAATACTATCCTGGGAATTTACAATAGAATCACTATCCTGTAGTATATTAATAGTTTCATTAAAGCATGGCGTAGTTTTATAATCTGAGGGGGGGAATTTTTTAACCTCCCAGAACTTGTTTATCTGGGAAATGAAGACACCTTATAGAATGGTTGTAAGTAGTGAAATATGTAGAATAAAATATGGTATTTAGTAGGTGCTCATTAAATGGTAGCTACTATTATTTTAGTTCGAATTATTTTATTCTTTTTCCTCCCCTCCCCACATACCTTCTTCCACCCTCACCTCCCTTCCCCTGTGGTAATCAACCATATTGTTGTCTGTGTCTGAGTGTTTTTTTGTTTATTTCTTAGTCCCTTCACTTTTTTCTTCAAGTTTCGTAATCTAGAATTAATTTTAAATGGTAACTAGATATATAACCTTACCTCCTTCTACTTCCTTTTTGTATTCCAATTCCAACCAGTCTGGACTACTTACTATACTTTGGAAGTAGATGCTATAGGGCTGAATGTCTTATTTCCTTAAGAATTGTGTATTATCCATTTTTAGTCCCTCTCAAAGAGCTGAGCTAAAACTTTATGAATGATTATCACACAGTAAACGTTTATAGGTGTTCAGTGAGCTAATTTGAAGAGTATTACCAATAAGTAAGTCATTAAACTTTATCTCTAAAAGGTGATTTTAAGGGAAATTTGCTTAGTGGTGCCAAACTGTACTGTTTTTATAAAGTTTTCCATCCGAGAAGCATTAATGGAGTACTGATGGTACTAATGTTAGAGATACAAAAAAGGTGAAAGATAAGAGTCCAGCACTTGCAATCTGCTCAGTATCAGGTTTTTAAAGATCTGATTTGCCTGAAGTCAACAGATGCACACTGTTAAAACAAGTGTATCTTTGATACCAGATGGGGTATAATTCCCTGGGTTTGGAGGATTAGGATTGAAATGGAATGGGAATTCATTACTTTGTCTTCAGTGTTGTTCTGATTTTTTTTTTTTTTTTTTTTTTTAGATCAGAAGACCTCTTTCAGACATTACATAAACAGATATTTCCTTTTGGATTTTGTATCCAGAATGAAAACTAGTATTATTTACAGAGGAAGGGCCTATTTGTAGAATATTTATCCTGTTTTACTGCTTATAAATTCCCATGATAGTATCTTTTCCTGTGGTTACCCATTCTGTCATTTGTAATGTGAATAATTTGGCTACATATTAAACAGGTTTGTCAGGATGAGTTTGTTGGTCCATAGAATATTTCTTTTTGCAATTATTTATTTATTTAATTCTGATCAACCTTACATGCTAGGTGCTTGATAAGGATTTGTTGAATTAATAGTCATGCATTTGAAGTAATTGTGCTTGAATAAATTTAGAGAACGCCTTTGCAGTTTATATTGATCACATTTATTCAGTTGAAAACAAACTTTTATGAAGGTCTATAATGTGCCAGGTATTATTCTGTCTTCATGGAACTTATATTTTAGCTGGGGGAGAAAAAGGGAGAGGACACTAAACCAGTAAACAAATAAAGTAACAGGATAATTGTAGATAATAAGTGTAGTAGTGGTGTGAGGCCATCTGGAGGACAAAGGGCCACTACTGTAGACAGGGTATGTGTGGGAGGCCTAAGGAGTTGACTTCTGAGCAGAGAAGGTAATAATGAGAAGAAGACCAGCTTTGGAGAAGAACATCATCCTAAGTAGAGAGAAGAGCAAGTGTGAAGGGCCTGAGGAGGGAATCAACTAAATATGGTTAATTAATTCAGATTGTTAGCATCCAAATACAATTTCTTCATTTAAGTAGCATGGAGCAGATGTAAAGACAACATAAATGCTGCTTTTTGAGTGGAATACTTTCAGATATAACAGTGAATCAAAGTGTAAGATCATCAATAGTCAACTAGTGTCTCAAAAGTTCCCTGGTGTGTTGGTTCTTCTTTGGTAACAAGGTGTGACAATAGCTTTTTGGCTATTGTAAGGCTTGGTTAATAATACTGGGATTTTGAAATCAAGAGGCTAGAAACCAACAAATTTGAAATTTGTGCGATCTATAGCCTACCTTCTCCTCCTTTCCTACAATTGAATTGTTTGCTTTTTAAAATTGTCTTCTCTATTTTGTTCCTTTTTCTCTCTCTGTTATTTCTCTTACATAGTAATAGTTTAACTGCCTACTCTTAAAAACGCTGAGCATTAAAAAATCACATTTGTCAGAGATGAAAAGGTCTTAAAAAACTTAAAGTGGGATACTTCTATAAAAACCTGTAATTTAGTATTGCAACAGAAAAACCCAAGGAATTTTTGTGATTCTTTTAACTGTACACTTGTCATTGTCAAGTTTGATAAATGATCAAAATTCTGAATTTGTTGTTCTTAATAGAGAAGTCTGCATTCTAAGAAATATAGGTGGAAAGAACAATAAAGAGTTGGGGGGGTTGATTTTATCTTTTGGGGTATAGAGGAATAAGTCTTGCAACCTTGCACCTTCAGATTGATACCCTCAGAAGACATTATACAAATAAGATCCTTTTTTTAGGCAGGATAAACTATTTGCTCTGTACAGTTTTGAACAATGAATTTAAAATACGATATATTTCACTAAGGTGACCTCAAGAGGTACTATTTTAAGCTAATTTCTCTATGTGAATATCTTTAGCAAGATAAAGCATTAATAATTTATTCAGGAAGTATAGGTAAATACTTTTGTGCTTTAATGGAAAGCCTGATGTTTAATGGACTGGAATATTGTCTATTGGCGATTAAATACCTAAATATATTAATTTTAGCACACTTGACCTGATTTAGAGTTTCACCTACAGTAATGTGTTTTGCTTATAATAGCCTCCTTTTCCAACTTCTTTTTAATAGCAACATCATGACAACAGAGAAGAGTTTAGTGGCTGACGCTGAAAATTCACAGCACCAACAACAGAAGGAAGAGGGAGAGGGAGCCACAAACTCAGGCCAACAAGAAACTCAGCTGGGAGAGGTTTCTCAAGCAGCAGCTGAGGGAGATAATCAGTGTGAGCAGAAGCTGAAAACATCCAATGGAGACACTCCTACGCATGAAGACTTGACCAAGAACAAGGAGCGGACATCAGAAAACAGGGGCCTGTCACGGCTGTTCTCCTCATTTCTCAAAAGGCCTAAATCTCAGGTCTCTGAGGAAGAAGGCAAAGAAGTAGAGTCAGCCAAAGAGAAAGGTGAAGGAGGTCAGAAAGACATAGAATTTGCAACCAGTCTTGATGAAGAGGTCATTTTAAAGGCCCCAATTGCAGCTCCTGAACCTGAACTCAAAACAGACCCATCCTTGGATCTTCACTCATTAAGCAGTGCAGAAACACAGGTAAGGATATGTGAATGTGTGGGAGGTGGGTGTAATGAAGGTAGGTTAGACACTTTATTTTTCATTTAAGAACATTAGGTTTTATTTGTTATTAGCCAGTTGACTTGGGATTGATAGTAATAAGTAACAAAGCTTTTTCAGTTTCTGCTTTAAAGAAACGATTATAGTCATGGGGATGTAAAGTACAGCACAGGGAATATAGTCAATAATATTGTAATAACTATGCATGGTGCCAGATGAAATATCAGGGGAACTACTTCGTAAAGTATATGATTGTCTAACCATTATGTTGGATATCTGAAACTAATACAAAATAATAATGAATGTAAACTATAATTAAAAAATAAAAATTTAAAAGATAAAGAAATTAAAGTAGTCAATGGAAACTTGATTTTTAAAAGGTACTTATATGATATGAATCAAAGAAAACAAAACGAAAGAAAAGAACTTATCAAATGAATTTATTCAGCCTCTTTGTCATTTTACTGTTATTGTAGAACACATTCATGATATTTAATAAAAGGGGAAAAAGAATTAAGGTGGATTAGAGTTAATTTTGTTGGAATTATTAGGAATGGGATAGTTATCAGCAGACATGGTTTTTTAATGGAACTCTCATTAAAGCCATGTGATAGATTCAAGCTATCCAGAGGTATGTGATAGATTTGACCCTGACCTGCCTTATTTTTGTCATCTTTTCTAACTGGATCATATTACCACAGACTATATATATAAGATACAGTGAGAAAGCCTAGGTGTTTATATCACCATTGTAATATATAATAATTTGAGGTCTTAATTGTGTCACATTGTAGTTAATGAAACATGAGCTCTGGATTTGTTCATTTGTACAAAAAACATGGGGAAATTTTCAGTCTTTTTATTTCTGAAGCATGTGAGAATTATCTGCATAGTAAAAGTCTAAGTCTTATATATTTTTACTAGAGGCCTGGTGCACGAATTTGTGCACAGGTGGGGCCCCTCGGCCAGGCCAGCGATCAGGGCCAATGGGGGCTGATCAGGGTTGGCCAGGGAGGAGGGACTGCAGGAGGTTGGCAGGCCACGAAAGGTTGACTGTTGGAGTGCACTAACCACCAGGGGGCAGCTTCTGCTTTGAGCATCTGGCCCTGGTGGTCAGTGCACATCATAGCAACTGGTCAAGTAGTCGACCTGTTGACTGGTCATAACAGTCACTTAGGCTTTTATATATATATATAGATCATAGGTCTCAGGTTTGGGCTATATAGTTGTATTAGAATTCTCTAAAGTATTACATGTATTTCTAGAAATATTGTATAATAAACGTGCTAAGAGTAAAATTTAGGATAAAGTTGTAATTACATACTTGCTAGTAGTGAAACAAGATTGAACGTAAGATTTATATAGTGTAATAGTTAAGAATGCAGGCTATGAAATCAGACTAGAGGGTTTAAATCATAGAGAAGTGACACTTTTGCTTTATCATTTTCCTCCTCTAAGGATAATAATATCCACCTCACTTGGCAATTATGAAGATTAAAAGAGATAAACATGTAAAGTTTGAAGTCATTGCCTTGCATTTACTAAGCACTCAATGTTAGTTATTATTCTCAGTAAAAGCAAAGATATACTATATATCTTAATATTGTTAATTTTATTTGAAGAATACTAATAGTTAAATTCTACCCTCTTTCAGGAAGCCTGGTACTTTCAAAAGGTTTTTAACTGATTTTTTTTGGTCCTTTGCTTTATGTAGGGAAAAATCCATATCTCATTTTAGTTAGCGTTTAATCAGGGTTATTTTGTGTAAAGATCATAGCATTTGTACTGAAGTTGAAACACATGACAGACAAAATTAATTCTAGACTTAATTAAAATCTCATTCATTGAAATTTCATTAATTCAGAGTTGGGATAAATTGTGTTTAGGTATTTACATATAAAGAAAAATAAACAAAATAAATAATAAAAATTCAAGAGGGTATTGTTTAAAGGAGCAAACTATTTAGGGTTTTTTGGAAGCTAGTATTTAAAATCACAGCATTGTGGATCAGAACCTTATTGCTTAACCATATTTCTTTTTTTATTTTTCTATTGATTAAGGTATTACATATGTGTCCTTATTCCCCCAATCCCCCCTCAACCTTCCCCATTCATGCCCTTACCCCCCTGTTGTCTGTGTCCATTGATTAGTCTTATATGCATTAACTATATTTCTTACATGTAGGAGAATTTCATTTGCGTGGTCCTTTTCTATTCTGAATTTTTAACAAAGTGAGTTTATATTATAGGATTGTACCATTTTTCATCTAGAGTGCCTTGGATTTTGTTGGAAGCCATGTGTCAGTTTTTAATATTTATTTATTAATTAAAACAATTGTTTATTGAAAACCTATGTGTACCAAACCCTAAGTTGAATATACACTAGTAAATAAAAACTATATTATGGTGAAGAAGTTTGAATTTTGGAGCCAGACTGATATGTGACTTATTAACTGTTATGATTCCAAGTTATTTGAATTTCTCTGGCTTCAGTTTCTTATCTGTCAAATGGGGATAATGACAGTGACCTCCCCGGAGGTTTTTATGAAGATAAAATGAGTTCATATGAGCAATGCTTTTGTAATTGTTATGTAAATGTTTGCTTTATTTTTATAAAACACATATCCCTACTCTTGATGACTATATAGTCTAATGGAGGAGACAAAAAGTGGTAAATACAAAATAATTATTTATCATAATAAATGTAATGAAGGCAACACAGCAGGTACTGATGTGAAGAATAGGATAGGTAGAATAGCCAATGAAGGCCTCTCTGAAGAGGTGGCATTTAAGAGGGTCAGGAGGTTTGGAAAGATCCTTTATGTAATGCAGGAGCCAAATAATTAAATTATTTTTCCTAAAAGTCAGCTATGTATTCTTTTAAATGAAAATTATTTTGTTGTGCTTGAAAAAAATCTGCCAAAATCTTATTCTACTTAGTTGTATTGCTTTGGGATATAAATGTAAATCATATGAAGATACATTCAAAGATGGCTAGAGATAAAAAAAAACAAAAACAAAAAAACAGTTCAGGCCCCAGGACACCCATATTTCAATTTGTCTCTTGCTTCTTTGAACCTTCTTTGTATTTATCATGATTGATACCTGATATCAGTTAATTGGTAGTTACAGTTAGCCTACTATATATGTTGCTCTAAAATTGGTCCCAAGAACCCCTCTTAGCCATTCATAAAATTTTGAATACGTGACAAATCACATCTCATTTTGCAATTCATTAGGCTACCTTGTTAAAATTGAGGAGCATGGCACAGAGATGTTAAAATTTTGATAGGTTTTAAAATTATATAATGGCATAATCAGGAAGAATATATAATCTTGAAAGCAACAGAAAGGTGTCCTCTAATTCATCTGATACCTTCATTTATTGATGTGATAGATGGGATTCTACCTTCTGTTAATGCAGTTTTAAGAATAGGAGAGTCTGTAGTTCTTTTGGGAGATCATAATGCCCTTTATAGCAAAATGATTATTTAATATTAGCATCACTTATATTTGTTTCAACAGTTTTTCTTCAGTTAGTGCTTTTATTGGTAGCGTTATTATAGGTAGAAGTATATACAAGATGCTTTGTGAAATGTCTTTATTATTGACCTGGTGATGTCATGCATTTGTAGCCTGCTCAGGAAGAACGCACAGAAGATCCAGATTTTGAAACTAAGGAAGAAGGAGGAGTTGAAAAGTGCTCTAAAATAGAAGTGAAAGAAGAAAGCCCTGAATCAAAAGCAGAAAGAGAATTAAAAGCTTCCCAGAAATCAATCAGAAGACACAGAAACATGCATTGCAAGGTTTCTTTGTTGGATGACACAGTTTATGAATGTGTTGTAGAAGTAAGTACATTTTAAGTTTCGGTAGTTAGGATTCTTACAAATTATTTCATGTAGGATTGGGTAAGTAGTGTCATGCATGGCCTGAGACAAGACCTAGTATAATGACAATTTCTATGGGCTTAAATGTTAATAATGATTTTTCTGGAGGTAGAGATGTGGAAGGATTATGAGTATTTTCTTCAGGTTTTTTTCTGCATCTGTCAAATCTTGTGAATTGAACATGTGTTACTTTTATAATCAAAACAAATTTTAAAATATTTTTACTGATTTTGAAAGAGAGAGAGAAAAAGAGAGAGAGAGAGAGAGAGAGAGAGAGAGAGAGAGAGAGAGAGAGAGAGAGAGGGAGAGGGAGAGGGAGAGAAAGAAACATTGATGTGAGAGCAAAACATCGAAAGGCTGCCTCTTGCATGCTCCTCTCTTGGGGATCGAGCCTGAAACCCAGGCATGTGCCTTGAGTGGGAATCGAACTAACAGCCTTTTGGTGCATGGCATAATGCCCAACCAACTGATCCACACCAGCGAGGGCCAAAACAATTTTGTTTTTAAAAAATAGGTTTGTTATTTATAAAGTGACCTTTCATGACTAATTTCCTAGGATAGCTTCAATTTCTGATATTAGATCCAGCTATTCCCATATCATATTTGTAAAAAATAAAATAAAAAATGTACTGTGTTCACTCTGCTCTCCTTTCTAAACCTTGATAAGCTTTAGTTTACTTAATTTGTTTCTTCATTCCTATTATATAAGATATAAAAAAATTAAATCAAGTAATGTCATTTCTTAAAATTCTCTATTTTCTTTTTTTTAATATATTTTATTGATTTTTTGCAGAGAGGAAGGGGGAGAGAGAGAGAGAGAGTGAGAGAGAGAGAGCTAGAAACGTCGATGAGAGAGAAACCGACCAGCTGCCTCTTGCACACCCCCTACCAGGGATGTGCCCGCAACCAAGGTACATGCCCTTGACCAGAATCGAACCTGGGACCTTTCAGTCCACAGACTGACGCTCTACCACTGAGCCAAACCAGTTTCGGCAAAATTCTCTATTTTCTGAAAGAATAAAAAATTGAATCAAGATTGAATAAAATTGTATTATTTAGTTACTCTTTTGCTCCTTCAAGACAAGTTAAAATCCTTAAAAATCTTAGCTATTTTTTAAACTAGAGCAGTAATTGTCAATTATATGCTTGATATTAAGCAATTGTTGTGAAGAATTCCCAAATCATCTCTGTCATTTAGAGTGAAAACATAGGTGAGAAAATGAGGTAATATAAATGGGTTAAGTCTGAAAGTGAGTTAACATCTATATGAATTACTAATAGTCATTAAAAATAACTCAGCTAATTGAAAGACATGCCATGTATATGTTCCAAAATTATTTCTAGCTTTTTGACATTTAAAAAATATATTTATCAGAAGGCATTAATTAGCCTTTTGACTCTCTCTCCTCACCCCTCCTACTACTATTCCAGTCAATAAATAGGACAGGTATAAATGCAAAAGCTAAAGAAAGAGTGATTAAATAGACTCAGGTTATTTAACTAGTGCATGGAGGAGCCAGGATTTTTTTTACTCTAAATCTCAGCTGGGGCATTTCCTCACTATAAACAGGAATATAAGTACCCACAGTTGGCAGTCTAGGTAAAGAGATATTAAGAAAATGATTCATAGCACATCTGAAAGAGCAACTGCAGTAGTTAATATATGCAGGTATCTAGAGTTTTACACTTCATGCATTTTTCTGAAAGATTGAACGGACTTGCGACATCATTTTTTATTCTCTTGGGACATTTGGTCTGAGAATAATAGAGAGTAATAATTTCTATAGCCACCAACTGTCAATGTCAGCAATTGGTTCAATTAATTCAGATGGTCATGATGACTGACAGCAACCCATAGCAAGCTTCAGGAAATATTGCACCAAAAAATAAAGAATATTATGTTTAGGAAGGAGGTAAAGGGGTGGTAGTAGATGGAGGGAAGCTTTTTTATATCTTGCTTTGAATTGTAGTATTATTTCCAAGCCATTATGTGTCTTGCATATTTAAGTAGACAAATTATGAAGCAAGATTTTTATAACTCACATTCTACTTATACTGTATAAGCCACTTGAAAATGTTAGCTATTAGCTATTTTTTAAACTAGATAAAAGAGGAAATTAAAAAATGACATTTTATTTTATTTGGTGATGAATACAAGAGTAAGAGGAAACCTCAACTAAACTATGTATATTTTTGCAGAAACATGCAAAAGGACAAGATTTACTTAAGCGAGTGTGTGAGCACCTCAATCTTTTGGAAGAAGACTACTTTGGTCTAGCCATTTGGGATAATGAAACCTCCAAGGTGAGGAAATTTCTGGTAATGAAGAAGCTGTGTTGTTAATTAATGTATTTATGTCTGCCTCTCCAAGACACAGTATACTTAGAGTTTTTCTTATTTCTTTAAACTAGAATGAACATTTTAAAGAAAAAAATATCATTGCTGCTGTGTTCTTTCATCATTGAAAGTATCTATTGTTTACTTTTAAAACACAGGCAAAGTACAGAACTTTGATATCTTGATTAGCAAGTGTATACCAATAACTTTATGTGTAATACAATTAGTATTTGATCTAGTATATAGCAGGTTTATAATAAATTAGAGGCCCAGTGCATGAAATTTGTGCAATGGGGGATGGGGTGTCCCTCAGGCCAGCCTGCACCCTCTTCAATCTGAGATCCCTCTCACAATCTGGGACTGCTGGCTCCTAACCACTCACCTGCTCCCTGCCCGATTGCCCCTAACCGCTTCTGCCTACCAGCCTGATCACCCCCTAACTGCTTCTCTGCTGGCCTGATTGAAACCTAACTGCTCCCATGCCAGCTTGATCGCCCCCAACTGCCCTTCCCTGTTGGCCATTTTGTGACAATGTGGGAGCGGCCATCTTATGACAACATGGGGGTGCCATCTTGTGACAAGGTGGGGGTGGCCATCTTATGGTGGCTATCTTGTGATGACATGGGGGCAGCCATCATGTGACAATGTGGGGGCCATTTTGTGATGTGAGAGCATGAGGGTCTATTTGCATATTACCTCTTTATTATTATAGGATATTTGTTGAATGGATGGTTCTATCACAATTATTCTACTATATTTAAAGGATAATTGTGATATACAGGGATTGGCAAAAGTAGGCTTATAGTTGGGAGTATGCAAAACAGAGTTTTTCCTTATATTATTATTTATTAATTATTGTATTATTTTCCACATGAACAACTGTAAACCTACTTTTTCCACTGTATACTTATAATATGAAAGTAACATTATAAAAGAGAATTAAATCCCAATATTGCTGGAACACTTATACAATGAAACTGACATTTTGTTCCAACCTAAAAGAAAACCAGTAAAGTTAATTGAAGGAAGTAAAAAAGCGTGAGAACATGGAGGAAGGAAGAAAGGTTAAAAGTCAAGGATTTTTTAAAAGTATGAATTTTTATTGATTTCAGAGAGGAAGAGAGAGAGAGAAACATCAGTGAGAAGAGAGAACCAATGATTGTCCGCCTCCTGCACATCCCACCCTGGGGATTGAGCCCACAACCAGGCACGAGCTCTGATCAGGAACTGAATCGTGACCTCCTGGTTCATAGGGCGACATTGAACCACTGAGCCATGCTGGCCAGGCAGAAATCAAGTATTTACTTCAGAAAACTTGAATTATTTCCTGGGCCAATGAACTGAAAATTACAAATATTTAGCTCAGAATTTAATGTTGAAGACTTTAGTTCATTTTAACAAGTATTTGCTGGTGCTATACTAGATGATATGGATATAGCTGTGACAAGGTAGACATGGTCCTTGCCCTCTGGAGCTTACCGTGGAGTGTGATGAGTGTCATACAAATGGAAGTACAAGATGTCATGGGGGAGTATAGCCAGGGAAGTCCTCTCTGGATAACTGATGCCTAAGCTGAGACCTGAAGGATAAAATGAGCTAGTGAAGTGAGAAAGGCCTGGAGTTGAGAGAGTAGTATTGGAGGAACTAGGAGCCATCCAGCCTGGTTTACTATAGGGATTAAGGAATAGAGTAATAGATGAATGTGTGGGTGAATTATTTTACCTTAGGAGTGGGAAAATCATCTTTCAAAGGCAAATAGCAAACACCAGTATAATGAATATTACATTAAGAGTGAGGAATTTAGTTTATAGTTCTTTGAAAGGATGGATTGTGTTTCATTGATTCATGACTGGCTTTTAAAAACATGCACTGCAAGGGGTGGGGGATAAGGGCTGGCTTGTCAACCTCCTGCGGCCTCTTCCCCCGGCCAGCCAACTACCTGAGGCCCCTCTCCCAGGCCGGCCCTGATTCCGGTCGGCCACCCCCATCCCTATCAGAGGTGAAGCCTGCTGGCCAACCTCCCGCGCCCCCTCCCCTTGGCTAGCCTCCACCCCTATTGGTCCCCCTCATCCCGATTGGGACGGGGCCAGCCAGCCCTCACCTGTGCACAAATTCATTCACTGGGCCTCTAATGTTGTTATATATTTGCTTTGATAATTTATGTACTTTTCAATGTGCATCTTATGTCAATATAATCTTTGAGCAATTCAATTTAGAACTTTCTGTCTCTAAACGTTTCCCAAGGAGTCTATGAAAGTTGTGTTAAGGGTGAGGCTCTTTTCACATACAATTATTTTGTATGGTTTACCACAGTGGTGGGCAGATTTTAAGTGAGATTGGAAAACAGTGAAGGGAGAGATTAATGTGGACAAGAATAGTCAGGGGAAACAAAATAGTCATTCAGTAAACATTAACTGAGAATGAACCATGTACCAGATCCTGTGCTAACATAGAAAAGATGGAAAAATAAGATCTGGGTGATGTCAATAATTCTGGTTATATGTCTCTACTAGTTTTTATAGTGTAATAAAAATAACAGGTGCTTATTTAGCATTTCTTGTTTACTAAGAGCTTTACACATATCAATTCATTTAATCTTTATAACTCTATGAGATAGGCACTACTAATATTTCATTATATAGATGAGGAAACTGAGGCATAGAGATACCTAAACAGGGACACCCAGCCAGGAAGTAGTAGAGCTAGGATTTCAGCCCAATTGTCTGGCTTCATATTTCTCTGCTTCATATTTCTATGCTATGTGAAATTAATACAAGAATATTGGGAATGTAGGTTGACCTGGAGGCACTGTTTGAAGATGGTCAGTAATTCTGCTTCTGACATTCCTTTGTTTATGTTTCGGAAATCTGTATGAATGCCTTTTCTTTTTACAGACATGGCTGGATTCTGCCAAAGAAATAAAAAAACAGGTTCGTGGTAAGTAAATATTGCCTTTTTGTATAATTCTTTATTTTAGTAGGTCAGCGGATTTCCAACCATTTTCTGGCTGTGGGTCACTTTAGAATCCTGACTATAGTAGGGCTTTGAAATTGAGATAAAGCCTTCCCCTGGAAGGAGAAGATTCCATAATAGAGAGATCAGCAGTAGTAGACACTGTTGAGATGTAGGTCAGATCTTGATTTTTTTTTTTTTACAACTAGGCAAAGTTGGGGAAGATAAGAATGGTTGAGAGAATCAGAAGGTGGAAAAGAACAAAGATAAAAAGGGAAAAAGGATAGGGGAGTCAGTTCTCAAACGGGTAGTGATTGAAACTGTAGCAGCCTTCAATTAGGAGTATGCTGCCTGATCCTGTTCCTTTTAAAATGTTCTGGACTGTTGCATTCTAACCATATCCATGTTTTTCTCTCTATAGTTCTTTTTGTCCCTTTTTTAACATTCTTCTTCCAAATTAAAGTATAAGAATAGATAATAAGAATTATTTGCCAATGATCCTTTTGACATTTTGGCTTTCTCCTAGCTTCAAGCCCTCTAGAACATATTATTGCTGCACACCCTGCTCCAACTAATGATTAGGAATAGATATTTTTAGGTCAATAAAGTATAATTGGTAATTTATAGCCCTGGGCCCAATGAGATGACTAAAGGATAGAGACTTTCTCCCCAACACTCCATTTGTGACTAGATGTCCTTTTAATTTAGTTTATTTTGAGGAAGCTTTTAGGAACTGAAAGATGTTATTCACCATGATTAGAAGTCTTAACTTTTAATCACCTGGAAACAAATTTTGTTTTATTTGTTACTTAAAAGAAAACACTTTTATTATGGTGAAATGTTTTTCTTTAGATCCTATTTATACAATAATTATACTAGAGGCCCGGTGTACGAAATCTGTGCACGGGGGCGGGGAGGGTCCCCCTCAGCCCAGCCTGCATCCTCCCCAATCTGGGATCCCTCTCACAATCTGGGACTGCTGGTTCCTAACTGCTCACCTGCCTGCTAGCTTGATCACCCCTAACTGCCTCTGCCTGCTTTCCTGGTCGTCCCCAACTGCCCTCCCTGCTGGCCTGGTTGCCCCCAATGGTCCTCCCCCCACTGGCCTGGTCGCCCTAACTGCCCCCCTTCACCACCGCCTGGTCGCCCTAACTGCCCCCCCCCCCTCCACCTCCTGGTTGCCCCTTAACTGCCCCCCTTGTCAGCCTGGTCACCCCTTACTGTCCCCCCTGCCTGCCTGGTTGCCCCTACCTGCCCCCCTCCTCTGCCAGCCTGATCACCCCTCACTGCCCCCCCCCCTGCTGGCCTGGTCATACGCAAGTGCCCCCTGCCCCCGCCAGCCTAGTCACACCCAGTTGCCCCCTCCCCCCCCACAGTCTGGTTGCCCTTACTGCTCCCCTGCTGGCCTGGTCACTCCCAACTGCCCCCCTGCCGGCCTGGTTGCCTCATGCAGCCTGCTGTTTGGTCGTCCATCCTGTTGTTTTAGTTGTGATGGCTCCTGGATTTTTATATATTAAAATTTCTTAAGACAGAGAAATAAAATACTCCTTTGAACTAGCAACTCTTCATATTTGCTTCCAACCTATAAAATTTTGTTTTGAAATGGAAGTCAAAAAAGTACTCAGCATAGCCAAAGCCGGTTTGGCTCAGTGGTAGAGCGTCGGTCTGCTGACTGAAAGGTCCCAGGTTCGATTCCGGTCAAGGGCATGTACCTTGGTTGTGGGCACATCCCCAGTAGGGGGTGTGCAAGAGGCAGCTGGTCGATGTTTCTCTCTCATCGATGTTTCTAGCTCTCTATCTCTCTCCCTTCCTCTCTGTAAGAAATCAATAAAATATATTAAAAAAAAAAAAGTACTCAGCATATTTGAAACATATATAGAAAAACTTAACTCCTAACCCTTTTCAATAAAAATACTTTAATATTCAATTTTACTCAGGAACAAATGATTATACAAGAATACTCTTTAGGAAGAAATGTTAAAAACAGTTTATAATAGGTAGAGAAGAATATCTGGTAGATTATCTTTCTGGCTATAAATTTTTTTTTTTTGCTAAAGAAAAAACTCTTAAGTGTTTGTCATTTTTCTTAAATTACAAAAGAATAAAAAAAATCCTTACTTCAATGTAGGAAAGAAAAACTGTTCCTAAAACAAAGTTTAATAGGGAATCAAAACGTAAGAATTTCATTTAGATATTAATCTATTGCAGAAGTTTTTAAAAAAATATATATTTTATTGGTTTTGGAGAGGAAAGGAGATGGAGAGAGAGATAGAAACATCAATGATGAGAGAGAATCATTGATTAGCTGCCTTCTGCATAACCCCCACTGGGGATTGGGCCTGCAACCCAGGCATGTGCCCTTGAGTGGAATTGAACCTGGGACCCTTCAGTCCACAGCCGAAGCTCTGTACACCGAGCCAAACCAGCTAAGGGCTGCAAAGGTTTTTTAAAATTATTTTTCATCATGCAAGTCATATTTAATCATTGTAAAAAATTTCAACATTATGAAAGTTAATCATGGAAAATGTAAAAGGCCCCTAATCCTGACCTCCAGATTTAAGCACTATTAAATTGGTATAGTCTGTAAGATTTTTTTCTAGGTATATATAAATTTCACCTTTCACAAATACAATTACACTATAAATTGTTACGTATTATATAATGTATGTATTATGCTATATATAGTTTTTAAAATTAATTTTAAAAATAGGCAATATAAAATATATGGTATAAAATTAAAAGATGTAAATGAAATAGTACAAGGTAGATCTCTTCTACCTCTGTCCTTTAACCGATTCCTTGTGTTTTTTTCAGAGATGTTTTGAGTGTATATATGTGCACACAAACATGTATTCTAATATAAGTATGTATTTACATATGTGTGTTTTAATACAAATATGTATTTAACATCTTTTAATATAGGTATTTAATATTTATATGTATTTAATATAAATATGCAACCAGCTCTAGTCATTTTTCTCAGTGGTTGGAGCATAGCCCCAGGGCATATTTCACAGACCTAGAACAAACTCATCAAAAATTCATATGGAATAAAAAAAAAAAAAGACCCTAAATAGCTGCAGCAATCCTGAGAAAGAAGAACAAAGTTGGAGGGATCACAATACAATATATCAAGCTTTATTGCAAAGCCACTGTTCCCAAAACTGCCTGGTACTGGCATAAGAACAGACATATAGACCAATGGAACAGAACAGAGAACCCAGAAATCGACCCAGGCCATTATGTTCAATTAGTATTTGACAAAGGAGGCAAGAGAATACAATGGAGTCAAGATAGTCTCTTCAATAAATGATTGTAGGGAAAATTGGACAGATACATGAAAAAAATTTAAACTAGACCATCAACTTACACCATACACAAAACAAACTCAAAATGGATAAAGGACTTAAACATAAAAATCTTAGAAGAATCCGCAGGCAGCAAAATGTCAGACATATATCAGAGCAGTATCTTTACCGAAACAGCTTCTAGGGCAATAGAAACTAAGGATAAGATAAACTAATGGGTCTACATCAAAATAAAAAGCTTCTGCACAGCAAAAGAAACCAACAAAATAAGAAAGCCAACTGCATGGGAGAACATATTTGCCAATGTTATATCTGATAAAGTTCTAATCTCCAAAATTTATAGAGAACTCATACATCTTAACAAAAGGAAGATAATCCAACTTAAAAAAATTGGCAAAGGACCTAAATAGGCACTTTTCAAAAGTGGATATACAGAAGGCCAAGAGCCATATGAAAACATACTCAAAGTCACTAATCATCCTAGAGATACAAATCAAAATGACAATGAGGCACCATCTCACACCTGTCAAAATGTTTATCATCAACAAATCAACAAATGACAAGTGCTGACAAGGATGTGTAGAAAAAGGAACCCTTGTGCACTGATGGTGGGAATGTAGACTGGTGCAGCCACAGTGGAAAACAGAATGGAGTTTCCTTAAAAAATTAAAAATGGAACTCCCTTTTGACCCAATAATCCCACTTCTAGGAATATAACCAAAAAATCAGAAACACCAATCAGAAAGGATATATGTACCCCTATGTTCATAGTAGCATAATTTACAATAGCTAAGATTTGAAAACAGCCTAAGTGCCCATCAGCAGATGAGTGGATTAGAAAACTGTGGTACATCTACACAATGGAATAATATGTTGCTGTAAATAAGAAAGAACTCTTACCATTCACAACAGTATGGATGGACATGGAGAGCATTTTGCTAAGCAAAATAAGTCAGTCAGAGAAAGATAAATATCACATAATCTCACTCATTTGAGGAATATAATGAACAACATAAACTGATGAACAAAAGTAGATCCAGAGATAGAGAAACGTCAAACAGAACCTCAAACCACAGGGGAGTGTTGGGGGTGTTAAGAGATCAACCAAAGGACTTATATGCATGCATATAAGCATAACCAATGGACACACATTAGGGGAGTGAGGACATGTGCTGGGGGTGGGAGTGGCCGAGGAGAGGTCAATGGGGGGAAAAGAAGATATATGTAATACTTTAAACAATAAAAAATTTTTAAAAGTACTTTATTGCTAAAAAATGCAAACCATAATCTAAACCTGTTGAAAAAAAATGGTGCCAATAGACTTGCTTGATGCGGGGTTGCCACAAACCTTTAATTTGTAAAAACAAAAACACATTATCTACAAAGTATGATAAAGCAAAAGTTCAATAAAATGAGGTATGCCTTTATTGAGAGATGTCATAAGTAATGCTAATGCCAGAAGAGAACATTCATGTATTGTTCATATGACCTCTGAGCACCCATGGTAGTATATAGATCGTATTTTGAAAACTATTGATATAAACATGTCTACCTATAAGATGGTTTCCTTCTTATTATTTTGCATATATATTTTGGTCTTTTGTAAATAAAACTATATTAAATTGAATAAAAAAAAAATTAGACCCTCTGACTTTACCTATTAAGTGGTATCTAAACAAATTTTATAAAAATATCTCATTTACAAAGCATGAATATATTAAACCTCAGGGGGAAAAAAGGAGAAATAGAATATTTTTAGATATTTCTAACAGAAACTTAAGCTTAAGCATAAAATTCTTTTGCATTTACTTTTACAGGTATCCCTTGGAATTTCATATTTAATGTAAAATTTTATCCACCTGACCCGGCACAGTTAACAGAAGATATAACAAGGTAATAGTTAAATATGTAATAAGTAATTCTCATTATTATAAACTCTGGGAATTTTTCTTCAGAAGAATTGAAGGAAAGTGATGAGCTATTAAACATAAGATAAAAAGTTTCTGATCAGATTCTAGTGAAAATGTATCAATAATGTCATCTTTGAATATGAAGGGCAATGTCCACATTTGGCAAAGCAGTGTGAAAAGGCCCAATTTCAGAGCCAAACAGCCTTTATTACTACCTAACATTGAGCAACTTACCTTTTGAGGCTGACTCTTCATCTTATAATCTAGCCATAATTTCCCCTCTCACAAATTATTTTTGTGAAAGTTAGATGAGTAAATATATGTATGGTTCTTACTGCACTCAACAAAACATTAGTTTCTTTACCTCCTTCAGACTTTCCCTCTTTCCTTTCTAAACCTCTTTCCAACTATGACTCCAACATAGCTACAGTTTAAAAACAAACAAACATAGGAATTTTTCAAACACACAGAAAAAAACATAACAGTGCAAGAAGCAACCATAAACCCACTACCTAGATTGAACAATTATTAATATTATTTCATATTAATCAGTTTTTCCCCTCTCTTCTCTTTTTTCTTCTCTCTTCCCTCATCTTCCTTTCTCTCTCTCTTTATTTTGTAATTGTTGCTGACATGGTAACATCTTTTCTCTTTTGGCTATAGGTATTATTTATGTCTTCAACTTCGACAAGACATAGTTGCAGGACGTCTGCCCTGTTCCTTTGCAACGTTAGCATTATTAGGTTCTTACACCATCCAGTCTGAGCTGGGCGATTATGACCCTGAACTCCATGGTCCGGATTATGTTAGTGATTTTAAACTGGCCCCAAATCAGACCAAGGAACTTGAAGAGAAAGTCATGGAACTGCATAAGTCATACAGGTAAATATGTCTCCAGGGTTTGTTCTGTGTTTGTTTTGGCAGTAAGTTTAAACCCTTTACCTGGTCTTAATTTGCTGTTTGCTTTATTGGGAACTGGTGCCATAGAATGAGTCAGCATGAACTCAATTCCCTCCCAGTTTATTAAGTCATTTTAAGTCCTCTGATCGCAGTTTTCTCATCAGAGTAGTGGGTGTTGTATTGTAGGAGAAAATGAAATGAGCTAATATATGTCAAGTCCTAAGCACAGTGTCTCTGGCACATAGTAGGTGCTCAATAAATGGTAGCTATTAATATTCCTAGAGGCCTGGTGCACAAAATTCATGCACTCAAGGGAGGTGGGAGGTCTGCCTGGCCTGCGCCCTCTCGCAGACTAGGAAACCTTGGGAAATGTCTAAGTGACAGCTTAGGTCTGCTCCCCATATGGGCCTAAGCCTAAGCCATTAGTTGGACATCCTTAGTGCTGTCGTGGAGGCGGGAGGTGGGAGAGGTTCTCACCACTGCTGCTGAGCTCGCCAGCCTTGAGCCCAGCTTAGGGCTTCTGGCTGAGCGGCGCTCCCCCTTGTGGGAGCGCACTGACCACCAGGGGGCAGCTCTTGCGTTGAGTGCCTGCCTCATGGTTGTCAGTGCACGTCATAGCATAGCGACCTGTTGTTCTGCTGTTCAGTCGATTTTCATATTAGCCTTTTATTATATATGATTGCTATACCTTATTTTTTCAAATTTTTAACTTATACTATATTAATTGTCTTGAGATTCTAGTGCAGGGTTTCTTAACTTGGGGTCTGTATACATGGATAGACTTCAGAGGGCCCATGAAACCCCCTGGAGGTATTTTTAAAAGTCTTTATTGAAGTTACTGCTTTTCCTCATGGAAATAATTGGTAATGTTGGGAGGTAGCAAAATACATTGATCAAAAGCAAGATTTATGGTCATACTGAGCTGGGTTACATTTTTGGCTCTGGTTGGTCCTGGCCTTGGAGCTTCGGGTCATTCATTTAATGTCTCTGAGCCTGAGGTGTTTTATGTCTGGTGGAGATTATTTACCTCAGAGGAAATAGGGTGGTTGATAGGATCAGGAAAGATAATGTGTGGAAAAACTTAATAACATGTCTTACATAGTAAAAATGTAATAAATGTTAGTTAATATTAAAGTGCCAATATAATTTGTGTTTCTTTCTACCATATATCCCATATTTGACTTGCTATAACTAAATTTTGCAAGCTGCTTTAGCATACTAAGGTGAATGTCTGATCTTGGCCTTGAGTTAGTACCCTGAGTTATGGTTGGCATGAGTAGGTTACAATGTTCCCGAAGTTCACACTGCTGAGAAATCCAGACAAGTATTCTTTCTAGACATTGAGCAATCTTGTTTTACTTGGAGTGGTTCCAATAGGATTGCATGCATTGAGATGCTTTGAGTAAAAGACCTTTAACTCAAGTTACCCCAGATCTGGCTGCCTTATTGCCCCTGTAGTGTACATCAGTCATGAGAACCATAACCCTCATCTCATGGGGTCACCTATTTCCAAAGAAACACGAATATCTAAGATCCCCTAAATATACCATTTTCAACTTGTTAATGATTAGAACTTAAGAATCTTACATTATCCTTAAATATATTTTTAATACTTTTAATTATTTCTGGTTATGATTCTAGAAAATTTTATATGTATAAAATATATATATTTACATACATATATCCTTTCAAAAGCAAATAATAGAAACAATCAGTTAATGTAATTTGATTTGTTAGGATTGTAGGAGAATGCTCTTTTTAGTTTAAAAATATTTTTTATTATTGATAGTATAATCTTGTGCAATCATTAAAATAGTAAAAGAAAACATTTTACTGTTGCTGTGTAGCCAAACAGCAGATGGTGTCAGATTATGATTGATGTCTTAAATCTATCTCTGATGATTTTTTTAAATGTCTGATGATTTTTTTAATGGTTATTTAATCATAATAGAATCTCAGGTTATCCAATGCTTGATTCTCTTATAGCATTGTTACCCAATCATCATCATAACTAGAGGCCCAATGCATGAAATTCGTGCAAGGGGCTCGGCCCTCGCAGCCCTGCCCAGCCGTCACAGTCCAGGCCGGCCTGTGCAGTCCCCACTTCCTCCATAAGGTCATCCGGACAGTCTCACTGCTGTTCGGTCTAATTAGCATATTAGCTCTTTATTATATCCTATTTAATAAAAGAGTAATATGCAAATTGACTGCCACTCCAACACACAAATGGCCGCCCCCATGTAGTTAAAGATGGCTGCTCCCATGTGGATACAAGATGGCCACCACAAGATGGCCAGCAGGGGAGGGTAGTTGTGGGTAATCAGGCCAGCAGGGGACAGCAGTTGGGAGGGACTAGGCCTGCAAGGGAGGGCAGTTGGGGGTGACAAGGCCTTCAGGAGAGAGCAGTTGGGAGGTATGAGGCAGTTGGGGACAATCAGGCCTGCAGGGGATGGCAGTTGGTGGGGATCAGGCCTACAAGGGAGGGCATTTGGGGGGGAACAGGCCTGCAGGGTAGGGCAGTTATGGGGGACCAGACCTGCAGGTAGGGCAGTTGTGGGGTACCAGGTCTACAGGGTTGGGAAGTTGTGTGAGACCAGGCCTGCAGGGTGGTTAGTTGGGGGGAACCAGGTTGGCAGGAGAGAGCAGGGAGGGGCAATCAGGCCAACAGGGGAGAAGTTAGGCGTGAATCAGGCTGGAAGGGGAGTGGTTAGGGGGGTGATCAGTCTGGTAGGCAGAAGCAGTTAGGGGCAATCAGGCAGGCAGGCAGGAGAGTGGTTGGGAGCCCCAGTCCTAGATTGTGAGAGGGATGTCCAACTGTCTGACTGTTCGACTGGGTCTAAACAGGCAGTCAGACATCCCTCGAGTGGATCTCAGATTGCAAAGGGTGCAGGTTGGGCTGAAGACACCGGGTCTCTAGTAGGATTATAAGCAGCTAATTATTGTGTATTATTATGTGCCAGATATTATGCTGAGCACTTTACATACAATATCACATTTAATTTTTTTAAAAAATATATATTTTATTGATTTTTTACAGAGAGGAGGATAGAGGGATAGAGAGCTAGAAACGTTGATGAGAGAGAAACATCGACCAGCTGCCTCTTGCACACCCCCTACCGGGGATGTACCCGCAACCAATGTACATGCCCTTGCCCGGAATCGAACCCGGGACCTTTTAGTCCGCAGGCCAACGCTCTATCCACTGAGCCAAACTGGCCTTGGCTAAAAATTTTCTTGATGAGGAAGTAAAAAAGTATTAATTTTATTAAATCTTAAGTACATTTCTATGTAATATTCTTTGTGGTTAGATAGGACCCACACACAAAGCAGTTCTGCTCTATACTGAGGTACAATAGTTGTCTTGAGGAAAGCATCTGCATAATTGTTTTTAGTTGTGAGCTGAATTAGCCACTTTCTAAAAAAAATCTTCACCTGAGGATATTTTTTCCATTGATCTTTAGAGAATTCAAGAGAGGGAAGAGGGAAGGAGAAAAGGAAGGAGGGAAAGAGGAGGGAGGGAAAAAATGAGGGAGGGTGGAATGGAGGGAGAGGGAGGCAAGAGACATATTGACTGGTTGTCTCCTCATACGCCCCAACTGGGCCGGGATCAAACCTGCGTACAAATCACAACCCTTTGGCCCAAGGACTAACTTGCTAGCCACTGACCAAACTGGACAGATCTGGCCACCTTTTTTTGAACACAATTTTTACTTGAAAAAATTACTATGACCCTAGCTGTGTTTGCTTAGTGGATAGAGCGTTGACCTGCAGACTAAATGGCCCCAGGCTCAATTATAGTCAAGGACACATGCCCAGATTGTGGGCTTGATCCCCAGTAGGTGGCATAAAGGAGGCAGCCAGTCAGTGATTCTCATCATTGATGTTTCTATCTCTCCCTCTCCCTTCTTCTCTGAAATCAATAAAAATATATTTTTTAAAATGACTGTTTAGCCGGGACCGGTTTGGCTCAATGGATAGAGCGTCGGCTTGGGGACTGAAGGGTCCCAGGTTCGATTCTGGTCAAGGGCATGTACCTTGGTTGCGGGTATATCCCCTGTAGGGGGTGTGCAAGAGGCAGCTGATCGATTACACTCTCTCATCGATGTTTCTAACTCTCTGTCTCTCTCCGTTCCTCTCTGTACAAAAATCAATAAAATATTTAAAAAAAAATGACTGTGTTTATTCAGACTTGCTTATTTGGAAGACATTTTCTTAAAAGTGAAGAGAGCCAATACATTTAGGATTAGTAAACAACTGATAGTATTTGTTGCTCATGATAAAATTCAAGCTTTCAAGTGAAAATTGGAATTTTGGAAAACTTGTATTTGCCACTATGATCTTGACAATTTCCAAATACTTAAAGGCTATTCTGAGGAAGTTGTGGTGATTTTAATAAATGTGATTTTTGCCAAAACCGGTTTGGCTCAGTGGTAGAGCGTTGGTCTGCGGACTGAAGGGTCCCAGGTTCGATTCCGGTCAGGGGCATGTATGTTGGTTGCGGGCACATCCCTGGTGGGGGGTGTGCAGAAGGCAGCTGGTTGATGTTTCTCTCTCATCGATGTTTCTCGCTCTCTATCTCTCTCCCTTCCTCTCTGTAAAAAATCAATAAAATATATTTAAAAAATAATAAAAATAAATGTGATTTTTTAAAATATCATACACTGAAATGTGTCAACATTTGGAAAATATGCATTATTACTCAATGAACCAATGTTTTTCAGATATGAAGTGCATGATGTAAATCATGCATGGGTAAAAAAGGTCCATTTAAATGCAAAATAGGTCAAAGTAACACAGTATAAAAATTCATTGATATGTTTTCAGATTTCGTATTGCAACTAACCTTTAAGAAACTTCCATTGTTGGGTTTTGGTGTAGTATCAAAGACGATTATTTAAAATTATAAATTCTTTTCTAACTATGTGTCTTTGTAGACACATATTATATCATATATTATGTCATATATTATAACGAAGTCAATT